ACCGTTTAACGACATTTTTATTGATCATGGCATCAAAATTATTTAAGTAATAAATTGCCATCAAAATTACAAGTCTGCTATCACAGATGGCGCAAGAATTCACTTAATGACATATGTTAATAATAAATATACGAAACTTTTAATTGAATTGCGGACTATCTAAATGTTAATATCAAGAGCTAACACTTTTAGAGAATTTTTTAGTATTAATTTGAAAGCATTTGAGCCCTTGGGAGCAAAAAATTCGAAAATGTCCATATTAAGGACCGTCCTAATATATATATATATATATATATATATATATATATATATTAGGGTGGTCCTTAAAATGGTCATTTTCGAATTTCGTTGCTCCCAGGGGCTCAAATGGTTCCAAATCGATAAAAAACAATTCTCTGAAAGTTTTGTCTCTTAATATTAACGTTTAGATAGTGCGCAATTCAATCAAAGTTTGTATGGAAGAGCATGGAAAAATTTTTGAAATTAAAAAAAAATGTTTTAGGTATAACTTAGCAACAAATGAATGAGTTTATTTATTCATTAGTTCGCTAAATTACATCTAAAAACCATTTTTAAAATTTTGAAAATTTTCCATGCTATTTCATACAAAAACTTTGATTGAATTGCGCTCTATCTAAACGTTAATATTAAGAGCTAAAACTTTTAGAGAATTGTTTTTTATCAATTTGGAACCATTTGAGCCCCTGGGAGCAAGGAAATTCGAAAATGACCATTTTAAGGACCACCCTAATATATATATATATATATATATATATATTAGAGTATATATATATATATATATATATATATATATATATATATATTGATTGTTTCTTTTCCGAACAGTAAATCCAATAATAAAAAAAAAACAATTTGTTTTTTGAAGATGTTTAATACGACGTTTCGGAACTAGGTACGTTCCATCATCAGGTTTATTCTGTCAAATACAATGTTTTTTAAAAATATTGATTAATATTAATTAATGATGGTCAATACAGATTAATTAGAAAATAATTTATATAGCCATATCACTAATATTTTTTTGTTAAAAACACTAAATCCTGTAAATTATTACAGGTAAATAATTTTTGCTTCTCAATTTTATATAAAACCTCTTTTAGTTAATTCTTATTACTCTTTACCCCGGTACATAATCCATTCCTTTATAAATTTTTTTTCTAATTAATCTGTATTGACCATCATTAATTAATATTAATCAATAATTTTAAAAAACATTGTATTTGACAGAATAAACCTGATGATGGAACGTACCTAGTTCCGAAACGTCGTATTAAACATCTTCAAAAAACAAATTGTTTTTTTTTTATTATTGGATTTACTGTTCGGAAAAGAAACAATCAATATATTGAAAAAATCCAGGACTTATCTATTGAATATATATATATATATATATATATATAATATATATAATATATATGTGTGTGTATATTATTTTTATACCTGTACAGTTTTGTATCCCAAAGTCTTTCCCGGTATACCAGCCAATTCCACTTTTTCCAATCTATAAAAATCTACAGCAGTCGTCAAAAGTTCCTTGCACAACTCCAAACGTTTCAAATAAATGTCGAATCTTGAATATATTCTGTAATAAAAAACAAAATGCTACAAAATATATCTATCACTACATTTTTAAACATAATCTCTAGTAATAATTGATAAATTTCAATATACCTCGAAGGATGAAAGTTCCATTCGTAGGGCGGCTTGTAATCAGGATCTTTGCAGAATTGGGCCAAATTTCCTCTGTATTCATTACAGACTTGTCTAGTAAATGGTAATAAAACTTGATATATAGAAATAAAAATGAAAACTTAATATATAGAGAAAAGTTTAGCTAGTAACAATTTTCTGGTAAGGTGGATGCAACCACAAACAAAATCAAATGGTTTTTAATGATTTTAATTACCTGTAGTACTTCAAAATTTCCTCGGCCTTAAGTACTCTCTTGTACCCTTCATCGACTTCTCCTTGGAGCATTGATTCGGGTTCCAAAGACTTGGAACATTCGTTCATCATCATGTTGTTAATTTCGGTCAAAAGGACAATTACTTTATCTGGGCTTGCATAATACCTTAAAATAAAAATAAAATTAACACATTAATATAATAACCTGAAGTAAACTCGGCATTAAAAAAGCCACTTATTGCAGCCAATCGTCGAATTAAAATAATGATCTATTTATTTATACGTTTCGACACGGCATGTGTGTCATCATTCAAAAGATAAATACAGATTCAGTAAATTTTCTGAGGCCACCATTATTTTCCTTATGTAAGCAATAGGATTCTTGGTATTAAAAGAGTGGTATAAATTAATGACATGTTCCGAAAACATAGTCTTATACTGATTTGGATTTTTATAATTACAAATATGTTAATTCATTCTTTTGTAAATATATAGCAAACTTTCGCTAATATAAGAACAATTACAATCATTACAATCTACTTTGTAAACAAAATCAATAATATGCTCAACAAGAGTTTTGGACTTTAAGAAAGTGAAAAGGAAGTCGATAGTATTATCAAAATCAAAAACTAACAAAAAACCTTCATTTAAGAACATTTTTTGCAGAAAATTCCTTTGTATTTATTTAAAAAAGGAGGATTTGAATTAGACCAAAGAGAACTTTTTGAAACATCAACATCAAAAAAACTTTTAATTATATTGATTATTAAATGTTCTGGGTAAGAATTATCACAAAGAACTGAAGGAATTGAATTTAAATTTTTTTTTTCACAAATATTCAACACTAAGTAAAATGGCTCTGCCAATTAAGGCAAATGAAAAGGAAAATAATTTATTTCTTACTTGTTTAATTTAATTTAATCTATAATATATTTTACTTTTAATCTTTCTAAATTTTGTAAATATTCTTTTAGATACAGTTAATAAATAAAAATATTGCTGAATAAAGACACACATACCGTGTCAAAACGTATAAATAAATACATCATTATTTATTCCTGAATTTACATTTCAATAATATGTCTCAAAGTCGACAAAAGATCTAAATCTTAAATATAATTGAGAAATTGTATATATAATTATAAAGTTTTTTTCTTACTTGCAGTTTCCCCAAACCAGATGAGTGCAGTACATCATGGGTCGAATCAAAGGCTTCGAATCTAGAAAGTCGTTGCTTTCAAAAAATTCATAGTGTCTGGACATAGGGCGCAAATATAATATTATATCAGCTGCTTCTGCCAAAGCTAAGGTAAAAAAAATCAATTAGTAAGTTAAACTTAATAGTAACAGTTAAGTCTAAAAAAATCCTTACGTGTTTATTAGAAAAGAAATTATTATAAGAGACGACAAAGTTATTAGAGTCAAATTTTAGTACCTAATGAATCTGAATGACTTGAAACATTGAGAAAAAGCAAAATTAGCTTATACTTCAAGAAGTTTATGAAATAAATTTTGTGGCCGTAAAATGAACCAATGCTATGTAGCAGTTTTCATATGAAATGGTACTAAAAACTGTTAAAATTCTATATGGTTGCTATGCAGCCAGGCATTTTAAATAGAAGATCTAACCTAGAGGAGGCACAAATGTCCAAAAAACGATATTATCATAACTGCATTTTTGAGATATGGCTTGATAACATATGAGTGAAATTGTATTTGGAGTTGTATGAAAACTGTAACATCAAGTAAACAATATAAATAAAGTAAAGATTTTAAAGTAAAATTCTACGTCATCGTCAGTGGTTCTACAATCATGGAAAAAAAACAGTAAGTTAAAAACTAAATATACATAGAGCAAGAGTAAAAAGAGATTTAACTAAAGAGACACACTAATTATATCTAAACCTTAAATTAAAATATTGCATAAAACATTACTTACTTGAAATTCTTAGATTATCATTTACACATATTAATAACAGCTGGTAAAAAATTAATAATTGGAAACAAGCACCAAATGTCAGTAATTTCTTTTTTATAAAGAATGAAAAATAATTAATAAATAGAATATTATACGTAAGCACTCGTGTATCCGAGGCATGCCAAAGAATAAAGTTCCTGTAAAAATTCGAAATGCGAGGCCAGAATTTTTTGAAAAAAAAAACATGTGGCCGCTATAACCGTAAGTAAGTGTGTGTAATATTGTTGTGCAAAGCGTGGTGTTAGGTATTCGATATAAATTGGGAAAAAGTATTTAGAACATATTGGTAATTTTTCCAGATGAAGCTGGTGTCTGTTCATTTGTTTATACAAGCTGTTATTAATATGTGTAAGTGATAATCTAAGAATTTCAAAAAACAATGTTACATGGAAACGTATGGAAAAATAAAAATGTTTCCAAAAATCTTTACTTTACTTATATTTTTTACTTGATGTTATGCCTTCAAATCAAGTTTAAACACTTTCAACATATATATAATATATATATATATATATATATATATATATATATATATATATAATATTATTATTACCTGCTACCAAATCGGAAAACAGCTTCTTAAAGTATTCAAAAAATATGCTGCCGCCCAGCTCAAGAACGGAAGCTATGTTCTTTATATCTTCGCCTTGAAATTGCGAGTAGATGTGCTGCAAGTTTTTGTGACGCAAATCCCAAAATCTACAGCAGAAAAAATAATTACATCAAATATAATATTAAAGTGACCATATACTTAGTCCCGGGTTTCCACCTTATGTCCCGGGTTTTTCTAAAAGCAATATTTATCCCGGATTTGATCTTTTGTCCCGGGTTTTCAAAAATTAATAGGACTAGTGGTGTATGGTATCGTGCCTTAAGGCAAATTGCTGGAACTTCTAGTACCGTAATAAAGTATTCGAGAAATTTTAAACGTTTTCAAATATATTATTACAAATACTGTAACTGTTTCATTATTTTTGCTATCTTGTTATATCTGAGCAAATCAAATGTAAATTTTATAATTTCTTTCATAATCATGAATCAATTTATCTCCAGAACATTAACAATCGTCCTTTTTCGAATTCATTCATTCGAATTACCTGATTTTCACAAAAGTGAAAAAGTGCTCCCGTACAGTCACAGTCTAAACGGCATCTGCAAATAATTCTGTGCGACATTTTCACTTATACTGTGCTTAGCTTGGCGGCATTTTCACATTTTTCAATAGTTTTCACACAAAATTGGAAAAGTGCTCCGGTACATAAACAATCTAAACGCACTTGGCTAAACATTTGTACCAGAGTGGCGCTCAGACTGTGCTTAGCCTGGGTAATTTTTTGAATTTTTAATCCAAAATTACAAAAATATTTTATGGAAATTCAAAAAATATGTAATAATTTTTTATCCCCAAAAGCACTTGTTTTGTCAATACAAGCAAAAAGTTTTTTTGATTATTCGAATCGAACGCTTAGTTCACTCAAAAACTGCCATTTTTTGCACATTTAGCTCTGTATCTTCGAAATGGCGGGACCTGTCTTTGCCAAAAACTAATCAGCACATCTCCCTATCAATAGAGATCGAATGTTTTTTAGATCATTCAAATCCGATACTCCGTTCTCTCAAAACTCGATTTGTATTTTCTGCACTCTTTGCTCCGTATTGCCGTAACGGCTGGACCTGCCTTTGCCAAAAACTAATTAAATAAATCTCCCTATTAATAGGGATCGAATGTTTTCTAAACCATTCAAATCGGTTGATCCGTTCGCCCGAAAACGTGAACGAAAAAATGCGGACATACAAAACACACACACACACACATCCATTAGTTTTCTGAGGTATGCCAGTAAAATGTTCAGAAACCTTCAAAACGTCGAAAAATGCAAAAATTTTCATTTTCGATTTTCGGCCCATTTTACTATAACTACCCTACAGGAAGTTAAAAATTAACAAAAATTATGAAAACGAACTTGCAAGTGCTATTTTTTTTTCAAATTAATTACGAAGAAAATTGAACAGAATTTTATACAAGATTCAAAAGCAAAATAAACATATAGATCGAAGAATGATATATTATCATAAATAAAGTATTAAATATAATCGAATAACAAAGATCTTACTAAACATCGGCAATTTTGATTGAAAAAAATTAATTCATATAAAAAAACAGTTTTTTATTGTATCCTTAGTGTATCCTTAGTGTTATTTCATATACCGTCCCAGTTTTGACTTATAAAAATATGGTCACCTTAATAATATATCCAGTTTTATCTATTAAGTATCTATTTTACCTGATTTCTTCATTCGGAGAAGGATGGCGGCCGTTTGCAAAGGCCAGGGTGGATTTTTCATTCAAAACGGCCCTGATCATTTTATCCCATTCCGTGACGATTTCTTCCAAATGGGCACGCAGTTCCACGTCGACGTCGTGATCAGGATTCCTGAAGGAAAAAATTTAATAAATAATAAAGTAAAGATTTATTGCAAAGTAAGTAAGAACATAGATATTGTGACTAAAAAATAGAATTGAATACATATGGAACAAATAAATAATTTAAAGAAGCAACATGTCGCATATTAAACTATCCCTAGAGTAGTTAATAGAATCGTGCCTTTAGGTAAATTGCTGGAACTTCCCGTACCTTAATTGATCATTCGAGGAAGAAAAGCAATCAATAATCAAAAAACATTTTTCAACGTTTAATTACTCAGAAATTTTATTTATATTATTCATTAATTTTATTTTTATTATTATTTGCTTATATTTTATATCAAATCATATTACGGATATTATTTTCATGTAAATTTTATCCTTTGCACTTTTTATTGATTTAAATTTATGTTATTATTTATCAATATTACTAGATGTTAATAATTTAACAGTTGTAATAATTATTGAAATTAAAAAAAAAAGTTTAATTACAATTGTTTTACATGTTTTAAAATAGATTTTTTATTATATTAAGTGCTTATTAAATTAAGCGAAGAACGTATTCTACAACAACGTGTACGTAATAAATATTTATTTATTCGTCTACATTAATGTGGTCCCCTTCAAAGTAGTCCCCCCCAGATATAATACACTTATGCCAGCGTTTTTTCCAATTTTCGAAGCACCCTTGATATTCACTTTTTGATATGTCCTTGAGCACTCTCAGCGATTTTCTTCAATCGAGGAAAACCGCCGTCCTTTCATGGGTCTCTTCAACTTTGGGAATAGGAAAAAGTCACACGGAGCCATATCTGGTGAATTTTTGCACTTTGCAACACTTTATTTCATTTTTTACGCAAAATTTAATACAAATTCTTTGACTTTTCAATTCTTCCATTGTAAAAATCGCCGAGCTCAGAAAAACACGTCGAACCTTAGCGACTACCACAGACAAAGTAAACAGTGAATATAGCTGAAAATTTCATCATACTTTAGGGGCATGTATACCAACACAATAAAAAAAAAATTTTGACAATCAGACACTCCAGACCCGCGAAATTTAATTATTAGTAATTCCGGGTACTTTTTGAACAGACCACGTATGTGTGTATGTTCACAAGAAATTTGTTCAATTTTTTCAAAATTTTGAATATTTCTCAAAAGTTCGATTTTTTTGATATTTTTAAAAGAAATCAATTCGTTTAAAAATTTTAAGAAATTAGAAATTTTTAAAAATATTCAATTTTTTAATAATTTTGAGATATTCAAACATTTTTATAAGAAATCCATTTTTTTTTTAATTTTTTACATTTTTTTAAAATTCTTCAAAATTTAGATTTCTTATTGAAAATGATGAAAATTTTTAAAATTTGGAATTTTTTTAAACAATTTTCAAAATTACGAAATTATCTGTAAAATCATACACCGTCTATACAAGCGAAATTATTTTGAATTAACCTAATCTGATGATCCGTTCTCTCAGAAACTGCATAACCATTTTTACACCCTTTGCGCTCCATACCTCCGAAACGGCAAAATTGCCTTTTGCAAAAACGCCTTGCGATCGAGTACAAACCGAATGTTTTTTCAATTATACAAATCGGTTATTCCAAAATGTCGAGACATTTGTTTGAGCCATATAAGGAAATTTTTAAATTAAAAATCTTGGTACGGAACCCATAGGAATGTAAACAAAATTTATTGTTAAAATCTCTTTAAAATATCTGATAATTTGATGTGCATATGTCTAATAAACATTTTTGACCGCCAAATGGCGTTTTTCACTTTTTTTTTAAACTCCGTAATCGCTAGACCTGCCTTTTAAAAAATTCAAACAATTCTTCGTTCAGTCTATACAAATAAAATGCTTTTAGAATTATTCAAATTAGACGCTCCGTTCTCTCAAGAACTGAATCACAAATTTTGGTTCTTTTTGCCCCGTATCTTTGGAATGGCTGGACCTGCCTTTGCCAAAAACTAATCAGCACGTCTCCTTATCAGTAGGAATCGATTGTTTTTGAAATTATTCAAATCGGTTGATCCCTGTTCCCGAAATCATCGACGACATACATCGTTTTTCTAAGGTATGACAAAATGTTCAGAAACCTTTGAAAGGTAAAGATATATATGGTACATCTTTACATTTCAAATACTTCTAGATTATCAAAGTCGTGTTTTCTTAAACAAATTAAAAAATAAATCTTACTCTTCGGATAATTCAATTTGTTCCAGCATAACTTTTTCGTGCTGAAACGGCATCGGCAGTATCGTCTGGTTGCGCATGGAGCCTTGCACCTAATAACAAATCAATAGCATCAATTATTCATATTATTTATTCTATTATTGGGAAATATGTTATTTATTTAATTATCTTACTTGGGTGATGGAGTTCTTCAAAGACTGTGTCTTTTCAAGAAGATCTGTCGTCACAATCTGCGGCCAATTCGATACATTTGTACTATTCTGCAACATTGGCTTGAAGACATGCTCGAGGAGGACAAGTAGGTCTTCGACTGGTTTTGGTGGCATTTCACCGATGATCATCATCTGAGGAAAAATTGTAAGATTTGAGATATATATATATATATATATATATATATTTAATTTATACTTACGTCTTTGTAATTATCCTTAGTGATCTCTTCCTCTCGTTTGCGAAAGAAATAAGGTATTTTATTTTTGGCGGCATTTGGAAAAGTTAGACCTGCCACCAAAATTCCAGCAATATTTACATAAATCAACATGTAGGGAATCGAAGGATTGTTGAAGAACTTGTTGATGATGCCCTGAGGAAAATAATAAATAGATTGTGAATGAATAAAAAATTTCATTCATCACAGGTATTAATTAAAATGTAATAGATATTCATGGACAACTTATTTATTTGTTAAAATTATTAAGAAATTTGTACAAAATTATACGATTTACGACGTTGTTTGTCTAACATAAAAGTTTTTCAAATAAATTTCAAATTTTTCAATAAAAAATAAACTAGTGACAACCTGCCTTAAGGCAACTTTTCGGAACTTCCCGTACAAAAAACTAAATTGTTAATAAACTTTGCAAAACTTTGAAAAAAATAGATTTTTGAGAAATTTTGAAATTTTTAAAAAAATTTGACTTGTTAATTGAAAACTTAAACATTTTTATGTTTTGATTTTTTTTGTATTTTGATTTATTTTTAAAATTTTGAAAAATTTTTTCAATCAATTGCACTGCGTAGCTGATTTGGGATCGAAATATCTAATAAAAACTGAAATTCAATTTTTGGCACCTTTTCCTCTGTATCTCCGAAACGGCTAGACTTGCCTTTGCCAAAAACTAATCAGCATGTCTCCTTATCAATACGAATCGAATACGTTTTTTTAACTTATTCGAATCGGTTGATCCGTGTTCGCGAAATCGTCTACGAAAATTTGTATCCGCATATACACACAGATTCATTTTTTCTAAGGTATGCCAAACTGTTCAGAAACTTTTAAAACGTGAAGATATATAAATATTTCCATTTTCAATTTTTTTGCGATTACTATAACTTACCCTAAGGAAAGTTAAAAATGTAAGACTTCCTTATGTTACAACTAAGTAAATTATTGAATGAATCATTTTACAAGCAACCTACTAGGTGTTAGTAGCATTTTAGTATGTTCATTAAGACCAGGAACTTTATCGCCATATAAAGTTTCATTAAAATAGTCAAAAAAATGTTTTATTATTAATAAAAAAAAACGTCCTTACCAACTTTCGCCAAAAATTAATCAGTACGATTTATTTATTTCACAAGCCGTTAGTATAATGATATTAAATAAGGTTCATGTCAATATTTTGCAAATTTAATATAATTTAATTATATTTATTACTTATTCATTTATTATTTAAATTATTTACTATAAAGTTATTTATATTTAGTTTGTTTGTTGTAAGTATTTTTTAACAATTTAATAAGTATTTTATTGAGCTATACAATACTTTTATAATCTAATTATTTGGTTTAAAGAATTTTAGGTTATTTTATGATATTTTAACAAATTTATCAAAGTGTTCCCAAATAATATATTTTAAACAATGTTTAAATTTTCCTAGATTTTTTGAGAAAACGTGAAAATTTTCTGGCAAAAACATAAACTTCTCCTTCAAAATAAATTAGATTATTAATTAATAATTATTATTCTTACCACATATTCCTCGTTGGAAGCAAACTTTTGCCATTTTTCAGCTTTCAACTTCAAAGTCCGTGCTAAATAATTATTTAAAAATTCCCATCTTGGATCTACAACTTCCTCCTTCTTTTCTTCATCTTGATCACCCATGATTTATGCGAGTAAATCCTTGAAGGACATTTATCTAAAAAAAATAGAAAATATTAATATATACATAAATATTTATAGATAAATATTAACTTATAGGTATATTAAGAAATTACCTGTTAATAATTTATTTACTAATTACCTGTTTATAACCAATTAATATTTTTTCGCGCTAATATTTGAAATCAAACTTTTTGATTGATACAATCGATTTCATTCATTTGTTTTATGAAATTTCCAATACATTTGTAAATGGATTATCAATAAAGCATATTTGTCATTTATTTACACGTATCGGGAAGTTTATGCAACTTGCCTTAAGGCAAAATAGCACTTACACCTAGTTTTATACAAATTTTTGTTACACAAAAATATTTATATTGAAATATCAATTTTAAAATTAACGGTCAAAATTTGTTGAAGCAATGCACAAGAGATGGCGCTTGTGCAGCTCAAGTTGGTTTTTTGACATTTATGACAATATTCAAACAAAATAAATAATGCAGACGTAAACATATAAAATAAATAATATAAATGTATTTACTTGAATATAAATAGTTAAATCTTATAAATACATGTATATTGAGCATATTTGTACTTTAAATGTAAAAATTTACAAACAGTTCTTCAAGCCAAAAAGTTAGGTTAGGTTTGTTTTGATAAAACATATTTTAAATATTTATGTACATTCTATTAATCTTAATATTATTATCAGTGTTACTCAAATACAAGCGTGTATATTTTATGATGTCTACGAATCAATCAGCATCAGCCCCCTTGGGGACTGCTATGGATAGTTTAAGCCAAGCGCTTAAGTGCAACATTTTACCAAACCAAGAATATTTATTACAAGGCTCTGTTTTAGATTCTGCCGTTGAAGCACTTCTACATAGGTAATAATAACACAAATGCAATAAAAAATACTGTATAAAATAATAATTGTATTGACTTAAATTGTAAATATTGAATTTGAATAAATTTATATGATTTATTTAGGTTAAGAGGTCTTTGCGATAATGTAGACTCTGGCCCAGAAACATTTCACGACCACGAAGTGTGTTTTAGTCTCAGAGGACCCACACAAATGGTACTTTGTATTTAAATATATTTATTTATCAATTTATTTACTGTTGGTTTCTATTTTAGAATCCTTTAGTCCTCAGGGTACGTAAAGCGTTAGATCAAGAAGCCCCATATCAATTGAGATATATAGGTGCCTCTGAATTGGGTGATCGTTCTAGACCGGCAGTGGTACGATCGTCTATAGATATCGCTTGCAGTTCCACTGTCATGGAATTTCTTACAGAACTCGGATGCAGGATAGATTTTGAGTACACTGTTAGGGGATATATGTTTCGGAAGGGACGGATGAAGATTACCGTATCTAAGGTAAAAAAAAAACCAACATAGTTTTTAATAATATAATAATAATTTTTATATATTTTAGGTTTTCAAGAAAGGTGCATCGCCCTCAAAGCCTGGAGAAGCCTTTGAACCAATTTCTCAAAGTTATCTTGTTGAATTATCGGTATATATTTATAGATGATGGATATATATATATATATATATATATAATATAATATAGAATTAGATTTATAATTGCAGAAGCATTTGGTAATTATTTTTGTGTCTATTTTTTAGGTGCTTGCTCCGTCTGGACAAGACGCTATAGCCGAAGACATAAGAATATTTGCTGAACAGTTACGACCTTTAGTTTTGCTTGAAAAGATTGATTACAAACGCTTGGCTCATGTTACATAAATAAGAAGAAAAGAATTGTTGAAAGAATGAAATAAAAAGATTTATAAGTAGGTGAGAGTTTTTTTTTACTAGTTATTTTAGTTTGAATCAAGTGAAAAAAATATGATTTTTTTTACAAAAACAAAGTTTTCCTTCAGGGAAATGAAAATAGAAAATGAAATAAATATAAATAATCAATTTTATTTTGCTAAAGAAGAATCAAAGTTATTTCGAGGTTTTGCTATAATTTTTCTAGAAATATATTTAGTTTAATAATGAAATAAATATAAAAAATCCATTTCATTTTGCTAAAGAAGAATCAAAGTTAATTTGAGATTTTGCTATAATATTTCTAAATATATATATATATATATAATATATATATATATATATATATTTTAATAATGAAATAAATATAAAAAATCCATTTCATTTTGCTAAAGAAGAATCAAAGTAAATATGAGGTTTTGCTATAATATTTCTAAATATATATATTTAGTTTAATAATGATATAAATATAAAAATCCATTTTATTTTGATAAAGAAGAATCAAAGTTAATTTGAGATTATGCTTAAATATTGCTAAATATATATTTAGTTTAATAATGAAATAAATATAAAAAATCCATTTCATTTTGCTAAAGAAGAATCAAAGTTAATTTAAAATTTTGCTACAATATTTCTAAATATATATTTAGTTTAATAATGAAATAAATATAAAAAATCCATCTCATTTTGCTAAAAAAGAATCAAAGTTTATTTAAGATTTTGCTATAATATTTTTAAATATATATTTAGTTTAATAATGAAATAAATATAAAAAATCCAATTCATTTCGCTAAAGATGAATCAAAGTTAATTTGAGGTTTTGCTATAATATTTCTAAATATATATTTAGTTTAATAATGAAATAAATATAACAAATCCATTTCATTTTGCTAAAGAAGAATTAAAGTTAATTTGAGGTTTTGCTATAATATTTCTAAATATATATTTAGTTTAATATTGTTAGTTAGTAATTTATATTTTAAATTAATATTTTTATCTACTTTATTTATTTGAGTATGAGAAGCCTTTACTTGATAATAATAT